AGATTGGAAACGAATCTCACTTCTCTGAGTAAATAAATAATCAATACTCATCTAAATGTAAATGAGAAGGGAGCCCCCTCTGATAACAGCACTCTTATCAGAGAGCCAATTTTCTTCAGACATTTGGCCTCAACCAAATCACCATCATTCAGCCCCAGCCTAATGGCAAAAAATCGTAACTAAATTGAACCGATCACCAGAGATCAACTAAGTTCGGCCCTGGCCACTTCAGGTTCAAATGTTTGGGAATGCAATTTTGCCCCCATTAACTTTCAATAGCAATGAAGAACAGACTGGTCAAGGGGCCAGTCTGTGCAACAAACAAAGCCCAGAACGGGGGTCGCCCAGAGGATGAGGAGGAGTGGGCCTAAGTGTTTAAACAAGGCCAGAACTATGGCCAACCCCAAAACCATGCAGGGAAGGCTCCTGCCTTCCTGGTGGGGAGACGGTATTCTTTCCTCTAGTCACAGGCTTGGCTGAAATTGAGAAGACGTTTAATTTGCCTGATGATGATGGTTAAAGTTTACTAAAACAGATGTAAATAAAGAAAAAAAAGAGAGATATTAAAAAGCTACAGCAGCTAAAAATAACCTAACGTTCAAATGATCAATTTCCTCCAAGTAATTTGTATCAGACTTACATCTGACCCAGCAGTGCCGCACTGACCTGATTTTACTGAAATAAGACGCCGTCTACAAGACAAATCACTTTAAAACCACTGCACTGGGGTTTCCATTTCTTTGCTGCAAGACTCAATTCACTGCTGATGAGAGTATTGGGGAAATTATGACCATTATTGATAGGACAGCAAAACCACTTTTACACAGTAGTCTTCAAGTTGACAGAAAGCTTGTACTGGACCATTAATGAAGGTGTCAGCCAGAATCAGAAATTAAAGATAAAGGCTGGGAAAGACCTAATTTTTAGAGCATGTTAAGGACACCAGACAAACAGAAAAAAGCAGACATCCGTTCTCCTAAGAGTAATATGGCCAAAGCAAGGATCTGCTGAAGGGCAGGCTGCTCTCCCTACAATTAGGGAAAGGAAATGTCTCTTTTTTTTTGGTCTGGCCCTTGGGCTCGCTATCTGCTCTAAAATCTTTATTAGCCAAAGGAGGCCATGACTGTGTAGGACAGAACAATTTTTGAGTAGTTTTGACGAGTTTTACCATCTCTGCTCCCACCGAGTACTAACCCCAGAAGGCGGACATGCAGTGGTTAGACAATGGTTTTGGAGTCAGAAAGAACTTGATTAAAATATTGGCTTTTTTTTACAAGCTATGTGACACTGGGCACATTAGCTGATCTAAACATTTGTGGAGTAACTGCAAAGATTATGTGTAACATGATGCCTAGGACATAATAAACACTCAATAAATGTTGACTGTTACACTGCTATCCAAATTTAACAAAATCATCAATTTGCCCATTTTTAATACTACAGTGAGCAACATTGAGGACTTTCCTGGCCCTTAACAAAAGCACTTTACGTGCATTAGCACTCTGAATCATTAAACTCTATGAGGGAGGCCCCATTGTATTCCTCATTTTATAGAGGAGGGAAAAATGTGGAGCGGTTAAGTCATGTGTCCACAGTGTGGCCAGGACAAGAATCCAGGTGTGTGTTTCCAGAGCCTATGCTCTTAACTGCACTAACATGCCATATTCCAGAAAGAGCATGCTATAATCTTCTTGATTTAGGAATTGAGAAGAAGAATTATAAGGTTGAGATGATTTATTGGCTCAGAAAGGAGTAAAGGTGTTGGGTGGGAAATGAGGTGGGAAGAAATAAAGTAGTTGGTCTTATGGGGCTCAAAACTGAGGCCTCCCCCAGCCCTCACAGCAGACACCTATCCGACGGGCACTTAAACACCAACTGCTTGCCCTAAATTTTTTGGGGTGGAAGGGGACCTTTTTCTAAGTTAAATGATTTACAGAGTTACTGCCTCAATCCATAGTTCTGAAAGTATGATTTCTTTAGGGTTTAACTATACCCATTTCTAGTCTTGTTACAACTTTTTTATTGCGATAGAAAACATTTACTGGAAATATGTTACTGCTATTACTGGGTCATAAAATAAAAAGAAAAATAGTTTATGTATTGCCATCATTTCCAATCATCAATCAGAAAGTGCCAAGAGGAGGAAAGGAAAGGGCGTACAGCTGAGATTTCCTTCTTTGTGTAGGAGAAAATGCAGGAGCGTCATAATTCTTTAGAACAAATTTCTTCTTGAAGACCCAGTCTCACAGATGGGCTCCCGGGAGGAGTAGGGAAGCACACCTTTTGGCATCTCCCCTCCTCTCTGCAGCCCTGCCCAAATGTCAGAATCAAGGGCTCTTTCTCTGCAACTTCCTTGGGGCCTTGCTTCTCTCAGTGTATTGAGCATGCTCGATTAGAAGCATTTCTATTTGTCATTGTTTCCCCCCACTCCCGCAAATCTTTGAGGATGAGGATGGAGGGGCTTTTTAATAAAACCAACTCTGTATTCCCAGAGCTCTAGCACAGCAACAGGCTCTTTGTAGGTGCTCAATAATCTTTGTTCAATAGAATGACTTCAACAAGGTGGCATTTAAAATTGAACAACCTTGACTCTTGACCCAACAAAAGAATCTATCCTGAGAAGCATTACTCCAAGTACACAATGATGTATGTTCAAAGATGTTCACTGCAGCAGTTTTAAAATCAAAAATTGCACAGTCTGAATATTCTCCAGCAGGAAATGATTAAATAAAGGACGGTATATCTATACACTGGGATGTTATGTAGCTGTTAACAAAATAAGCTAAATTAACAAGACATGGGAAGATTTCCATGACACATTATTAAATTTAAAAAGATATAGAATGTATAGAGTATGCTCCATATATATATATATATATATATATATATATATATATATATATATTAGATTTTATTTATTTGACAGAGAGAGACACAGCAAGAGAAGGAACACAAGCAGGGTGAGTGGGAGAGAGAGAAGCAGACTTCCTGCCAAGCAGGGAGCCCGATACGGGGCTCAATCCCAGGACCCTGGGATCATGACCTGAGCCAAAGGAAGATGCTTAACAACTGAGCCACCCAGGCGCCAGAGTATGCTCCATATTAATAAAGTAAAACTCCAACTATATATATATGCATTTATGTGTGTATGTTTGTTGAAAATCGTTGAAAACACACACACACACACACACACACACACACACACACACACACACACACACA